CAGGTTAAGGTCATGACCTGGCCGAAAATAGTCATGTTGCATATTAGTCGATCCGTATCCTCAACCTGAACACATCTAAGGCGTTCTCATCGCTCTAGCATGCCTCTATCAAAAGTTATTCGCGAAAAACTGTTGCGATACCATTCGTGACCTTCAGATGCGTCTGCGCAACAAGCTCTGCTTAGCGTGCACTCAAAACTTTTTTACCACCTCCTGGAGGATTCATTTTCACCAAACCCGCAAGATAAGAGTATATTGAAAGGGTACCTCGCTGCTACCATTATGTGCATGGTAACGGTACGTGGTTCAATTGAAGTTATTCGCCAGCAAAGAGTGTTATTACCATGTAAATATCAATATTACTCTCGCAATCCTAGACATGACGAAAACTCTTTCCTCCTGGGTATCGTGCCTCGTGTGCAGGTGGTCGTTTCATGCGTGGATCTTGTTTACCCTCGTGAAGACAATATTTGAAAGAGTATCAATCAGCCAATCGAAAACGAGATCGGCCGTTTGAAGTTTGAAGGCCGCGCGCATCTGTCAGTTTTCCGTCGTTGGTCTCCGAGGGAGGGTGTGAGCAGTGTCGGTGCGGCGCCACGTGGCCGTTGGTGATTGTGCTTGTGTGCTGTTCATCGCCTATAGAGCCTCTGCGGACATTTTATTGTAAGTACCGATGTGATAGAGCATTGCGTGCTGTTGAGTGGTGCTCGTTTAATCTGGCTAACAGAACCCCGTGCACGGCCACGTGGCAGAGTGTTGTAAGTAGGTACATACATTTTGTTGTGATGCATTTTGTTGGCGACTTAGAAAAAGCCATGCACTGTAGTGATGCAGTTTAATTATCCCACGTAGAAGGGCGACAATCCAGGAACGCTGCCGTTCACTTCAAATGTTGTGCGCTGTGCCTTATCCAATTCGAGGGAGCTTTATTATTATTTATTTTCAAGTATTCATTTGTAATCTGTGGTTGAGTCTTAGGTCCGAAAGCCGATATTTAAAATCACATGTTTGCTATATTTAAGCAAAACATAACTCAAAACAGGCACAAGCCCGGCCGGCCCCTGCTCTGCCCAAGGCCATATATAGTGCTCTGCCGACTCTCTCCTCTGGTCTCTGGTCAGCTGTCGCTGCCCAAGCGGGGAGCGGGGTGGCGTTGCCCTAGCAACAGTTGCTAGGAGACGGCCGACGGCCTCCTCCCGCGGACGGATGCGGGCGGCGAAACTCAGCCGTCTATTAGACGGCTGAGTTTCGCCGCCGGGGCCCGCATCCGTCCGCGGGAGGAGGCCGTCGGCCGTCTCCTAGCAACTGTTGCTAGCGCTCCCCGCTTGGGCGGCGTCTATACATTTAAAGTGTTCATATTTAAGTTGTATTCAAGTTGTATCGTAATGTTTATTTACCGCGTGTGCATCGCTGAACGCTTTGTTCACTGAAAACTTTTTTTCCATTTCCTGAAAGGTTAACCCGCCATAGCATGGTATGCTTGACACACAGACGTTTTTTACCACCCTCCAGATGGTTAATTTTACTCTTTCATGAAGAGTTAACTCGTCAGTGAGGGGTAACGTGACACACAGACGTTTTTTACCATCTTCTGTATGGTAAACTCTTTTGATTTACTTTCGTCTAGAGGGTAACATTTCCGAAGTTACACGCCGTGGAAGGGTCACTCTTTAACTGACCCTCCTCTTAAGAGTAGCATGCCATCTACTCTGTGATTTACCCTCTTGCAGAGAGTATACCCTTTTGGCTTACCCTCAGTCAAATGGTAATGCTTACTCTTCCCCAAAGAATTTACCCCCCAGAGGATGGTAGCTTGACACACAGACGTTTTTTAGCACCTTCCAGATGGTAAATTTTACTCTCTCATGGAGCGGTAACTCGTCAGGGAGGATTAACGTGACACACAGACGTTTTTTTACCATCTTCTGAATGGCAAACTCTTTTGATTTACTCTCGTCTAGAAGGTAACATTTTCGAAGTAACACGCTGTGGAAGGGTAACTATTTAACGTGACCCTCCTCTAAAGAGTAGCATGCCATCTACTCTGTGATTTACCCTCTTACATAGAGTATATCCTTCTGGCTTACCCTTAGTCACATGGTGATTTTACTCTTTCCTTTAGTGTAAACCCCCCAGAGGATGGTAACGGGCCCACAGACGCTTTCTTCAGAAGCTTCGCGAAGCTTCTGATAACCGGAGCTAATCAGCATGCTTCAAGAGCAACACTATATATTTGGCATTCCGTACAAACAATACGAGGGGTTCACCAGCCATGAACATTGTGAGACTCTCCACTTATTCATACGGAGTTATAACTCCGTATGCCCATCGAATGAGACTCTCCACTTATTCATACGGAGCTATAACTCCGTATGATTAAGTGGAGAGTCTCACAATGTTCATGGCTGGTGAACCCCCCGTATTGTTTTTACGGCATGCCAAATATATTGTTGCTCTGGAATCATGTTTTTAGTTGATGAACTCCGGTTAACAGAAGCTTCGCGAAGCTTCTGAAGAAAGCGTCTGTGGGTCCGTTACCATCCTCTGGGGGATTTACACTAAAGGAAAGAGTAAACTTTACCATGTGACTAAGGGTAAGCCAGAAAGATATACTCTATGTAAGAGGGTAAAGCACAGAGTAGATGGCATGCTACTCTTTAGAGGAGGGTCACGTTAATGAGTTACCCTTCCACAGCGTGTAACTTTGAAAAATGTTACCCTCTAGACGAGAGTAAATCAAAAAGTTTACCATACAGAAGATGATAAAAAACGTCTGTGTGTCACGTTACCCCTCCCTGACGAGTCTACTCTCCATGAGAGAGTAAAATTTACCATCTGGAAGGTGGTAAAAAACGTCTGTGTGTCAAGCTACCATCCTCTGGAGGGTAAACTCTTTGGGGAAGAGTAAGCATTACCATATGACTGAGGGTAAGCCAGAAGGGTATACTCTCTGTAAGAGGGTTAATCACAGAGTAGATGGCATGCTACTCTTTAGATGAGGGTCACATTAAAGAGATACCCTTCCACAGAGCGTAACTTCCGAAAATGTTACCCTCTAGACGAGAGTAAATCAAAAGAGTTTACCATACAGAAGATGGTAAAAAACGTCTGGGTGTCACGTTACCCCTCCCTGACGAGTTTACTCTCCATGAAAGAGTAAAATTTACCATCTGGAAGGTGGTAAAAAACGTCTGTGTGTCAAGCTACCATGCTATGGCGGGTTTACCCCCCAGGAAATGGTAAAAAAGTTTTCAGTGTGGGCTCCGGCTCTGTCAATCCGTCAATTCAAACAATCGAGCTGAAATTTATTAAAAAAAAGGCCTCAGGGGCATAAACAGGGGTCGAGGACACCATAACGTGTGTCTAAAGTCTAAGTTATTCAGAGATGGGAGTATTTATAATGGCTTTCGTCCAAAAGCGGCGCATTTAAGTTTTCTCCCATTGACTTATAATGGGGAGGTCGCAAAATTGACATGACCTTAGGTCATCGATATCGAAATTCTGAGATAAACATTTTGTACATGCTATTGCTAATCGCTGAAAGCTTCAAAGCGATCGGTCAATCGGTGTAGCTATGACAGACATTGAAACTTTTTATGACGTGAGATCACTTCAAGTGACCTAGTGATCTGACCTTGAATGACCTTGGTCTGAAATTCTCACAACATTAAGGTGTGCCAAGCGCCGCCGTTTTTTGAGATATTCGCAAAAAGCCACAGGGGGTGTTCAACCCCCCCCCCCAGCAGAGCACCCCCCAGCAGGGCGAGGGTTAAACACAGTCACAAAGCCAGGTATGCTATCGACATGAAGCACTCAGAGGGTGCCAGCGTGGTGCCTGACGTTTCCAAGGAGAATGGACTGCCGCTGTGGCCTGTGTCGGTGAGTGGACTGCCGCTGTGGCCTGTGTCGGTGAGTGGACTGCCGCCGTGGCCTGTGTCGGTGAGTGGACTGCCGCTGTAGCCTGTGTCGGTGAGTGGACTGCCGCTGTGGCCTGTGTCGGTGAGTGGACTGTCGCTGTGGCCTGTGTCGGTGAGTGGACTGCCGCTGTAGCCTGTGTCGGTGAGTGGACTGCCACTGTGGCCTGTGTCGGTGAGTGGACTGCCGCTGTGGCCTGTGTCGGTGAGTGGACTGCCGCTGTGGCCTGTGTCGGTGAGCGGACTGCCGCTGTGGCTTGTGTCGGTGAGTGGACTGCCGCTGTGGCCTGTGTCGGTGAGTGGACTGCCGCTGTGGCCTGTGTCGGTGAGTGGACTGCCGCTGTGGCCTGTGTCGGTGAGTGGACTGCCGCTGTGGCCTGTGTCGGTGAGTGGACTGCCGCTGTGGCCTGTGTCGGTGAGTGGACTGCCGCTGTGGCCTGTGTCGGTGAGTGGACTGCCGCTGTGGCCTGTGTCGGTGAGTGGACTGCCGCTGTGGCCTGTGTCGGTGAGTGGACTGCCGCTGTGGCCTGTGTCGGTGAGTGGACTGCCGCTGTGGCCTGTGTCGGTGAGTGGACTGTCGCTGTGGCCTGTGTCGGTGAGTGGACTGCCGCTGTGGCCTGTGTCGGTGAGTGGACTGCCGCTGTGGCCTGTGTCGGTGAGTGGACTGCCGCTGTGGCCTGTGTCGGTGAGTGGACTGCCACTGTGGCCTGTGTCGGTGAGTGGACTGCCGCTGTGGCCTGTGTCGGTGAGTGGACTGCCACTGTGGCCTGTGTCGGTGAGTGGACTGCCACTGTGGCCTGTGTCGGTGAGTGAACTGCCGCTGTGGCCTGTGTCGGTGAGTGAACTGCCGCTGTGGCCTGTGTCGGTGAGTGGACTGCCGCTGTGGCCTGTGTCGGTGAGTGGACTGCCGCTGTAGCCTGTGTCGGTGAGTGGACTGCCGATGTGGCCTGTGTCGGTGCCCAGCACGGCGAGCGCCTCGGCCCTCGCCACACCAGGTCCGGCGTTGCCGGGTCCCATCCGCACACCATCGCCGGCCACCAGGTCCGGCGAGCCCAGCACCGCACAGTAGCTGGTGTCCGGCGTCGGCTGCGTGCATCGGCACTGGCAGATGTTGACATTTCGTATATCCGCACACATCGAATAGGCACACACGCGCTCATTCAACTTTTCAGACGAGACGAGCACAAGGATTGAGGAGTGTCGTTTGAAGGCAAGGGCCAAGGGGTAGTGGCGTGAGTGAGAAGCAGCGACACATTGATATAACATTTGCTCCAAATGTCCTTGAACTCATGCGGGTTCCCATTACTTCAGGTAGGTAGTTGCAGATACCCAAACGTTTCTCGGCCGCCAAGTAGTTTAAAATAAAAATAAAAATCAAATTCATGAGAACCCTACCTTTTTAGCTGTCAATGCTAATTTTAAGTCCTGAATACTGCTATCGATGCCGATCTACAACTGTGAAACTTCACTGCTCATGACCAGAGAGATGGCAAATGTGCAATCGCAGGCAGTGATGTCACTTTGCCTGTAGCCCCTGTACACTGTACAGGCGCTTCGGTGTGACCTTGACGGCCCATGTGTCCATTTCTGGTCATTGCTCAGCGCGCGGCGGGCCGCGGACCGGCCTGGTAAGCCGGCCTGGAGACCGGCCGTGCAGGATAATCCCTGCCAGTCCGGCTCTGTGTCTGAGAGCCGGCGAGGGACGCCGGCACTCCTCCGAGCGCGCCAGCGGAGCGGCTCGCCGCCGGCGGCCGTCCTCGGCCCACTCTGCACCCCGGCTCCCGAGGCGGCCCGGGCCGGTGCCGCCCGTGGCCCGGACAGCGCTGGCTTACAGCCACATAGAAGTGGATTTGCAGCTGAGTCGTGATTAGATTGGAGATTGTTGTCAGCTCCAGCGGCCACGTCCTGTTCTCTGTGGGAGACTGCGACAGCTGGAAAAGGGGTGAAGGTCACCGCTCGTCCAAGGCACACCGGTCGCTGCCACAGTCGACCAACAGCGCAGTGTCGCAGAAATGCCATGTCAACACTTCACAGGTCAGCGTCTGAGACCGGTTTCAATACATAACGGCAGCATCGTCATCAGAATGAAAAAGTGGCAGGTAGAAAAATGACTTCGGTGGTTAGAATTAATTGATGCTGAAAGGGGTGCGTCTCAGGGACGTAGCCAGGGGAGGGGGTTACGGGGGCCATGCCCCCCCCCCCCCTGAGGGCGAAAAATAAAACGAAATTGAATAAAAAAAATAAAAACAGCTGCACCACACCCCCAAAAATAGTGGGCCGAAACCGAGGAGCTTTCCGTTTTTGGAGGAGGTACGACCCTAGGCCGCGACCTGTGGCCTAGGGTCGAATTGAATTGAAGTTCGGGTCGAAATGCGACCCGAACGACGAAGAAGGGTCGAATGCGAATTGAAGTTCGCAGCCCCCCCCCCCCCCCGGCCGGACCGGACCACGAATCAGATGGCCCAGCACCTGGCGGAGACCATGATGAACGCTAGTGCACGTCGTATCCCTCGAGGAGCAAGAGCGGACCCCAAACCGTGGGCTGCCGACCCCGAGCTGGCTGCGGCGGTGGCGGAGCGCCGGGAGGCGAGAGCAGCTCTACGCCGATCACCCACCGACCAAAACCGCGAGACCTGGAAGCTCAAGAAACAGCGCGCGTCCGCCGCGGAAGAAGCAGCCAGGAAAAAGTCGTTCAGAAAATTCACATCTGAAGAGCTAAACAAGCCGACAAGCCTCGGTCGTGTCACCAAAGTTCTATGCAAGATGGAGGGTGCGGTTCAGACATCCGCCCCAGGCCAAGCTGTCGACGGTAACCGCGGTCGCGAGGTCAACGTCAGTACAGTCCTCTTCTTCCCGCGTGGTATGGATTATCTTTCCGACAAGATCGAAATTACTCGAAGGTTATGCTATCAGTCACTTGGAAATCATAACCACAAGTCGCGCGATCTTCCAAACTATCGCGTAGGCCCAACATAAGACAAATTGTACTCCTAATAATGGGGCAAGGAAAAGTCGCCGCCAAATTGAAATAAAGTTTTGATCAATGACGAGCCCAATTAAAGTAGTGTAGCCTCGCATGTTTTAGTTGTTAACGAGTGACTGATACCATAGCCTAATTGGGTGTGATGTATTGTCAGCTTTGTCGAAAAAGAAGAGTACGGCTACCACGCAGCGAGACCAGCACTGTACCGTTGTACATTCATATCTCACAAGCACAGGCACAGGGGATTATTTTGAACGGATATAAAAACAATTTCTAATGCCAGTCGTATTTAACCTACGAGTTGTTGGGGACCTTAAACGCCCCCACTTTTTTTCGCTACGCTAAAAACTGTGCGCCGCAAGCGCGGCAATTTTGGGTACCTGTAGTGTTATTGCCACTGAACTCTATAATGTGGAATGCGCATCGGCCGCCAGATGGTGTCCAACGGTGCCGCCATGTTGCGCAGACCAGGAAGCGGTCGCCGCCTGTGTTGGGGAATAGGGAATTCGGGACCTCGATTTACGTTTGCGGTCGCTGCATCCGTTACGTTCAAGCTATGTGGACACGGAACCCGGCATCTTACGCAGAATTGAGTGGAGAACAAGATGAAACCCTAAAAAATCCTTAGATACAAGGAACTAATACGTTAAACCCTTATAAATCAATGGGGAAATATGAAAATTGCTATTTTGGCGCCGAGAATGATCTGAAACTATCTCAAGCATATAGAATCATGATTTCATGCAGTCTTTGCAAGATTCTATGCTTCATATTTGCATTGTTGCCCTTGCGTGACGTCATTTGTGACGTCACAAGGGTCACAATTTTCCTTCAATAACTCCCGATCAAATTGAGCTAGCGAGTCAGAAAGGCCACCAATGGACTCAGGAAGACCTGCCGAATCGAATGATATGCGACATGACCTCTTTCGACCAACTTCGTGACCTGAGGGTGCTGACCTGACCTTGACCTGAGGTCAACACCCTAAGTTGACCTGACCGGAACAAAAAGTATGTCACTCGATGCGCCTGAGCTAGCTGAACACGATGATGCCAAAATCGCGGCTCTACGGCCATTTTTGGCGAAGTTATTTACCAAAAACCGAACCCGTGCCTTAGATCACTTGACCTGACCTCAGAGGCCACTGGTTGACCTGAAACCCTTACAGCGGGTTCCTACCAGTCACTCTGCATTATACTTTGCCGCAAACGACCACTTTACCGCTTAATTCTAGTTTAATTAGCGGCGCATTAGCGAGGTGGGTTCAATCAACCCCCTCGGCCGGGGCAAATGTAGGTCCGGCGAGTAAATTTGAGGAATTCTGAAGATACGATCGTATTCCCCACTCAATTCTGCGTAGGGTGCCGGGTTCCGTATCTACGTAACATGAACGTAACGGATACGGCGGCCGCAAACGTAAATCGAGGTCCCGAATTCCCTATTCCTCAACACGGGCGGCAGCCGTTTCCTGGTCTGCGCAATATGGCCGCCACCGTTAGACACTACGGCCAATAGGGTTGAAGCGGCAGTGCTCCCCTGTGGTTATTGCCCATACAGGATCTAAATGGCGTTGCGTTCGATACGAATCAAACACCAAACACATTTTAGCTCTAAATTTATACTGGCGAATCAATGAGCCCACTCCCCCAAATCCTCTACCTTGGAGAACTGGCCTGCTTCAACTGTTAGTTTTGTTAGCGTATAAAGTGCTGGTAATGACAGATAATTTTCTCCCTCCAAATCGGTAATAGACAGGCCAGCCACTACTTGAGTCGGTACGGAAACGGCCCGATCCACTGTCGTCACTCGTCAGTGTCAGATGACGACCGGGCAAGTGTTTCAAATTAAGCTTGTGCATTAGTGACGTGGATATGAATGAGTGCGTCGACCCGCTATCAAGAAAGGCGAACGTCGTGCAGTGGCCTGATTCACTCTTAACCTTTACAGCCACAATGGGTAAAATGGCTCCACACTTCGATATGCGACACGAAGTAACCTAGGCCCCATCAGCTTCGCCTTGTGTCCTCGGTTGATATTGAAGCGACCCGCCTCGCTGATTCACTGGTCCACCATGTTCATGTAATGCAGTTGGATGACTTCGATTGCACGCACATCTTGCCTAGTGATGTCAATCGGTTACCGAAAAGATATGCTGACCGATTCGGTAATCGGTAGGTCAGGCCCCCCAAAAATCGGACACTTTCGGTCACCCTGCCAGTGAAACCATTTTCAAAAAGAGAAAGTATTCCATTTTTGCCTAGTTAAAATGAAATTTATTGGGATGTTAATGGTAAAGAGTTGCAAAATTTCCCCCAAAGGCTACAAGAGATGCCACATTTTGGCAACTTCAGTAGCCATCCCACTCAGCAGGCAGCAGCCACCCATTGTCCAACCACAACTACAAGCAGGCTGATTTTGACTCCGTTGGCCCCACAAGTACACGCAATTTTGAAACTCAATTCCAGTCTGTTAAAATGTTACCTGTAGGGGAGAGCGGGGCCAGTTGAACCACTTTTTGTATATTGACATGCACAGCGAGATCTAGTTGTCATATCGAAAAATGCACAATGCCATGAAAAAATATGCTCTTTTGGCTTTATTTTAAGATATGTAAAATTATGTTTCAAACATATTTTGCTGCCAAACGCATGCTTATAAAACAGCTCTACGCCCGTTTCAAATGACCCCGATGTGAGGGTCAATTGAACCAGCCCATGGGGTCAATTGCACCTATCCTTAACAATGGGATGTTTTCCTCTTTAAGGCCACTTTCTTAAGGAGATATTTTGTCTGGTTTACTTTTCCAAATGGTACATTCAATAGGTCGTTGGAAAGCTAAAAGTGCAAAGTTCCTCATAATAGGTGACATAAAGCACATAGACTATGGTAAAATGGGCGGATGAGAAAAAATAGAAATATCTCAGGCTATAGTGTGCTTTCAAGCAAAAGGCTGGAGAAAAAGGAGTCAAAAATTGAGCTCTATTAAACTACTATTTCAGTTTAAAAGCTCATTTCAAAGGTGGACTATTTCCTTTAATGTTTACAGCCCCTGAACAATAACCATTGCAAAGGTCACTGGGGTCAATTGAAACGGCCTGTGGCC